AGAAAATCATTCTGAATATTGAGTATTATTTTAAAAGTCAGGAAGTGAGCCTTCACTGTCATGGCAGACTGCTTGGCTGCTGTTCCTGCCAACTTTGAGCAAAGAAATATTTCCCTTCGGCTCTGATTTTCAACAGAAGCAAACAAGGAAGCAATGTGGCTGACTTCCGTTCTGGGGGCTCGGTATTAAGTTGGCTGAGGAAGCTGCCGTTTGCAGAAATCATTCTGGGATCAGTCAAGGGGGAGGGCACTGGTGCTCAGATGGCAATGTTTCCACTCCAATTACAGCAGGATACTAATGTCTTACTCTCCAGAATTAACCGCTCCTTGCTGTGTTTACAGCGCATCCGCTCTGCTCTGCCTTTAGTCACATGTGCAAAGTGGAGGCGCTCCTACAGGCTGCCACACAGTTGACAAAGTGGAGGCGCTCCTACAGATCGCCACACAGTTGACAAAGTGGCATTCTGAGCTGGCAAGGAGGAAAGCACATGGAGAGCAGCTTGCATGTTCTCCATGCACGGCAAAGAGCAAACACAGTTGTGCTGCTTACCGCCAGTGTTGCCATGGGGATCTGTGATAGTACAAAGTTAGTTCTGGGGCCAAAGAGATGGCCCAGTGGGTAGAGACATCCACTGTGCAAGCCTGAAGACCTGAGTTCCACCCTGGGACCCACATAAAGGTGGAATAAAGGTGCAAGGGGAGAACTGACTCTACAAAGTTGTCCTCTGACCTCCAAACATGCATCATGGCACACACACTGCCTGCTACATACTAATATGTATGTGTGCGTATATATATACACATATATATACACATGTATATATACACACTAAATCTATATATCTATATGTACATATACATACACACATTTTTAAAGTTATTTTATTTGAAGAGGTTGTTTTGCGGGCCATTACTTAAACGTTTCTAGTCTGTATTTCCAGTTGTATCTGGAGCCCACAACACTACTTTCAGACATACGGGCAATCTCAACTTAAACGTCAACATATTTTCTGGCACAATGAAAAACATCTGTGTTCGTCCTTTCTGGAGCTTAGTTTAAGTCCCAGCATCATTCTGACTTTTATCCTTTCTGTCGCAACAGTGACTGTGAGTGGATGGCAGGATATCTGTGAACCAGCTTAGATCCAGGACCTCTCCACCCCATTTTCTTCTCTCTGCCGTCTGAAACTGAGCGAGACCTCACCGGTCTTTATCTCAGTAGATTCAACCTCTCCTGGTAACCCCAGACGTACTTGTCCACCACACACACAGCTTAGAGGGTATCCACACAATCCTTACAGTTTTGTAATGCCAAAATTATAGGATTATGTAGTTTAGAGGCTAGAAGAATGGGTTCTGGAGTGACAAGTACTCAGTCCTTGCTCTGGGTGAAGCCCAGGCTGGAAACGTCTTTGTTTTCACACCTACTGAATGAGGTTATTAGCAATAATCATCTTGGAATGTCTGGAAGCATGAATGTGGGTACATTATAAATACATGCTGTTGTTATTAGTATACTTTTTAAATATTTCCCAGTTAGGTCAACTGTAACTACCCAGATCACAATCCTTTTATCCCATCTGGATTTAATCCCAGCCTGGCCTCCATCTTTGGAAGCCCCCTTCCCTGAACCCGTCAAACCTTGACCCCTCCCCAGGAAAGGTCAAGACCACTCCCACAGGTTATTTAAACTGCTCCCCAGAAAATAATCACGTGGTCTTCCCTCTTCCTCTTCGGTGGTCATGTCGGCTTTCTGTCCCCCCCCTCCACCCGAGAGCACATACATCCAATTAAACCTGTATATCTTTTAATTTGGTTTGATTTGATCTGATTAGGATTATTTCAGTGGGCGGAGAAGCTCATTTTTAGGAATATTCCTAACACTGGGCACCACACTCTTAAGTCAATTTAACTCCTTGTGTCTTTGTATCTACCCAAATACCGCCTTTTAAAGAAAGACAAACTCTATTAGGGGACTTTTCACTACCCAAGAGATAAGCTTAAAACTCCAGCTAGCAGCTGTAACTCTCTAGAAGTTGAATATGTAGGCGGCAGTGCACACAAGCACAAACTGCTTGAAGCTGTACGATCGTTAGCTGTACCTCTATCGCTCGCTCAGATGTGCTCTAGGACTCTTAGTTTCCGGATCTGGAGGCTGATTCCATCATGATCCCTTTCTTTGCCTAAAACTGTACAATGTTCCCAGTCTGTGAACTTCAATTATGTGTCTCTTACTCTCCACTGTCTCTAACTTACAACTTAATGTTCTGGTTTTAGTTGCTTTTTGCTTATCATTTCCCTTCCCCAGCGACATCTTCCCATGAAGACTGCCTGCAACCTCATCTCCTGTTACTCAGGAAACCTACTTACCCAAACTCTCCCCCGACCTCTTTATTCGGGGTTTCTTTAGTCTCTAGCACCCTGAAAGCTAAATTTCAGTAAGACTCAGCAGTTTCCCTTCAGCTGCCTCTCTGTTCAGATGCCCACAATGGTAAGTGTGCCAGTCTGAAAAACCTCAGCCTTTGACAGAGACCACTTTCTGGGGAAGGGTGCAACATACGGAGTTCAGATGAGCATCAATCTGGGAGGAGCAAAGGCGTTCGTTCAAAAACTTCCAACTAGTTTCCTGTTCTCAGGCTCTGAAAACTGCTTATGAAGATATCTGAAGAGCAGGAAACAGCCTTTTGTTGTTGGCTTATTTTCTTTAGGAATGGCACTCCAGAGAATCTGATCTAAAAATGGCTTTGCAAACTCAACTTTGAGAAAATACCAAATTAGCCTGTGGTGCTTGTTGAAGAAGTAGAGTTCTGGCCTCTCTCAGATGCGCATTACAGCTATACTGATCTACAAATCAAGCTTACAGTTCTGTTAATTGTCATGACAATTAATTCAGCAATTCCCACCTGTGGAACAGAGAATCCTGGGTGTCCCTGACAGTTTCATGTCCCTGCTCACATGTGACAGAATTTTTCTAAAGGCTACACAAAGATGATATTCAAGAGAACATAGGGGAAAACAGACCCTAGCTGTATTCTAGAAAGCCAAGCATTAGAGAAATTGTATTTTTGTTGTTTTTGAGGAAAGATCTCTCATAGTCCAGATTGATCTCAAATTTGCACCCCAAGATAAACTTGAATGCCTCCTCCCGCCTGTATTTCCATCCCAAGTGTTGGGATTACAGACACCTGCCAGCACTTCCAACTGGAAAATATTCTTTATAGAAATGTCAGTTATCATTTAATGAGCTTACTACTTTAAAATAAGCTATTTTTGTGAGAGTGACTTTGATTTCCTAAAAGAAAATTACTGGTAGTTGTAACCTACATTAAAAGAAAAAACCTTTAAAAAAATCTTGTTAAGTTCAAGTGCAATGGATTCCCAAAACCAAAAAAATTACAATTGTTGCTCTATTAATGACAATATGGAAAAGACAGTTACTAGCTGACCAAGACACACGCCTATTCTGTATATTTTCCTTCACAAAAGAAAACCAGAAGAAATCCATTGATGTAGATTCCCCTATGTATTCTGTGAATACCATTGCTTAATAAAGAAATGGCAAAAAAAAAAAAAAAAAAGAAAAAAAAAGAAATGGCTTTGGCCTATAGCAAGGCAGAACTTAGCTGGGTGGGGGAAACTAAATTGAATGCTGGGAGAAAGAAGGCAGAGTCAGGAGAAGTCATGCAGCCCCCCCTTCGTAGGAATCTTGTGGGTGAGCCACAGCCATGTGGGGATACACTGATTAATGGAGATGGGCTAGTTTAGGATAGAAGAGTTAGCCAGAAATACGTTTTAGCAATTGGGCCAAACAGTATTGCAAATAATATGGTTTCTGTGTGATTATTTCGGGGCTGAGCAGCCAGAAACTAACAAGTGGCCTCCAACAACAATCCATTTTATACTTTTAGTTTATTTGTTGACCAGACACTTTTGTTTGAGACAGGATGTAGTTATTTAGCTCTGGCTAGTCTAGAACTCACAATGTAGCCAAGGCTAGCCTTAACTTGCAATTCTACTTCAAAGAAAGAGGCATTTAGTAAGATCCCAGGTAACACCAGGGTACCAAAATATAAAGAATTATCATCAAAAGTAAAGGAAAATAGTTGAAGGGTTTCCGGAAGTGGTAATTACATGTGGACACTGATATAAGGGACTGACTAGAAGGAGAAAACCTGGATCCTTTGTTGTTGTTATTTGTTTTTAGGTGCTAGCGATCAAATCCTGGCACATGACAGGTAAACGCACTACCACTGAGCTATACACCACACAAGATCTGGACACTTGAAAGCAAATCTTAGCTTCCTTAGGCTTTAGGTGCCCCCAGTTTTACAAAATCGTGTTTAATGCTTTCCTGATTCTGTCTGTCGGCGACAGCTCAGGGGCAAAGGAAGCAGAGCAACCCTGAAATTATGAGTCAAAAGGACGTCACCCACCTGCTTAGAAACCTTTAATTACTTCCCACCGAGTTCCAAATTAAAAATCGAACTCCTTGTCACTGACCCGACAAGGACTCAGTGCCCAGGTCTCTGTTCTACCTCCCTCCCTCCGTGTTGTCCCCCTTTGCTCCTCTCTCTCCTGGCAGAGCTCTACTCCTTCCTCCTTTCCACTTCCTCACTCAGTTCCGCTCCGTCACCTCATTTAAACTTCGATAACGCACTTAGCTACCATCTTAGATGGCGTTGTTTTGACTTGTTTGTGGGCTCCCTTCCCCATCCTCTTAACAGGGTCCTCACTGTTTTCCCGGGGGCGTCGCTGGCCCTCTCTAGGAGTCCGTAAATACTTCATGGCGGAACCCCTACCTCCACCCCAGGCCTTCACGGACGGCGGGCATCTCTGCACCTTCCGCGCCCAGCCCCAAGCATCCCCCATCTCTCAGGGCGCTACCTGAGTAGAATAAACACTCACCTCACCGGAGTCAGCTCCTTCCGCCCCAGCGGATGCCTGACCCGGAAGCACTCCCTGGAGGCGACCCCGCCTCCGTACGGAGGTCAGGACTACTTCCGTGACCGTCGGAGTGGCGAGCTGGCGGCCGTAGCCCCGGTGAGGGGGAGTGTCGGGTCTGCGGGGCTTCCGTGTGAGGGCGGCGAGGGCTGGGGTCGCTGGGGTCACGGGTTGGAGGGCTGCTGCGCTTCCGGCTGTGTCCGGGAGTTTTCGTCAGCCTCAGGGGCTGAGGAGCTTGTTTACGTCAGGCCTGGGGGTGGGACCTGCGTGCGGGTGCGGAGACTGGAGACTGGCCTCGTTAGCCCGGGAGCCGCCGCTGCCCGCCGCCCGGCCTCCTCGTCGCGCGGTCTGGCTGCGGCGCTGACCCCGGTCTCAGCCGCGCTGCCTCTGGGTAATGCGGTGGGGACGCGTGTGCATCGAATGTGTTCTGTCGTTCGACTTCTCCCGTCATCTGGGTCTTTCTCCTCCAATCAGGGAAGCACACTGACCACAGACTGCCCGGCAAACATTAAATAGTATAATTCCGTCCGTCTGGTATGTGTTTAATTTTGTTTACAGGGACGGGGAGGCGGGCATCACTACACACAGAATCTCGTCGCCTGGCTCAGCTTGAAAGCCTGGCATGTCCTCAATGCTTCTTAAAATCTTATTTGTGCAAGGGAAAGAATAGGGGCAACCAGAGTTTACAAATTTGTAATGTTCTAGTGCCATAAAATTAAATGAAATTCACTTAATTTTTTGCAACGTGTGTATTTGCTTACATATAGCACATCTGTGGACTTACCATATGTTGAAAACTGGAGAAAAGAGAAAAAAGTGTTAAAAGATATATTTTTTTGCCCCTTAGATAAAGTCTCTCTGTAGCTTTGGTGCCTGTCCTGCAACTAGCTCTTGTAGACCAGGCTGGCCTGGAACTCACAGAGATCCGCCTGCCTCTGCCTCCTGAGTGCTGGGATTTTATTTATTTATTTATTTATTTATTTATTTATTTATTTATTTATTTATTTATTTTAACTACAGCTGCAAGAACAGCTTCTGAACTTGTGCAGGCACGTCGGTGCCTTGTTATTAGATCAGCCTCTGGACTGAGTGGGGCAGAAGTGGCCTTACATTTCTTCTGCCTGTGTGCTTGAGACAGGGTCTTACTGTGTAGCTCTGTCTGTCCTAAAACTCACTATGTAGACCAGGCTGGCCTTAAACTCTTAGAGGTCTCCCCACCACTACCTCCCAAGTACTGGGATTAAAGGCATGCACCACTGAGTATTTTATTTTGTGTGTGTGTGTGTGTGTGTGTGTGTGCTTCAATTATTGTGCTGTATCCCACTTACCTTCCTTGTTAGTTTCTTTTTTAGTGCATCAGAAGGATGACAGCATGAGTTGGATTTGTCCTGTACTTAGTACACACCCGAATAAAATGTTAGCATACCTGGTGTGTGTTGTATGTGTGTGATCTTTGGTGATAACTGGTTATTCTGGGAACTAGTATTTCCCTCAGTGGAAGTATCAGTTATATGCTGGCTTTAATTGCCAAAGAGCTGTACTTTCGGAAGGAATTGAATTGGGTAACGTTGCTATTCCAGAGCTGACCTGAGAGACCGGAGGATGTATTTAGGTGGTAGAGCTCTTCCTTAGCATTTGCGAGGTTCTGAGTTCGATCCAAACACAGCAGAATGAATGAAATAAAAGTGGAATTTAATTATGCTTTGGTTACATCAGATGGCCTAACTATCAAAACAGTGTTTGGAATATTTATAAAGAATCTTAAAAAAAAAATAGAAAGCTGATTTGACACAGTGTTACTTGATGGCTTAAACAGTCTCAGAAACAAGAATGGATGCTTAATGATAACATTTTTGAAGGACAGGCTAGTAAAAGGAAAGACTGATAACAGCCTTCATCAAAATGAAAAAAATTTCTTTGTGGAAGACCCCATGAAGGTAATGAAAAAGCCAGGCGTGTTGCCTCTGATCTATAATTCCAGTACTTGGAAGTTTGAGGCAGGAGGATTGCCATAAGCTAGTGGCCAGCAAAGAGGGAGATCCTGTCTCAAAAGGCGAAACAAAATAAGACAATGAAAATAAACTTTTAGGCTGGGATGATATTGAACGTAGATATTATATGCTCTCAAAACTCAACAGAAAATGACAAAGCAATCTAACTGAAAAATGTGCCAAAGACATATCTAAATGTTTCTCTGAAGAGACTGTTCAGATGGTAAATCAGCCCCTGGAAAGAAGTCTGCTGTAGTGACTGGGGGCACATGGGGGCAGGCTACATAGAGGCCACAGCGGGCTGCCACTACCTATAAAAGTGGCTCAAATTACCTGATCAGAATGCAGAAATTCTTGGTTATTTGTACTGCTCTGGAAAAGATGGCAATAACATTTGAAATGACTTATCATATAACCTATGTTTCGTACAAAACTAGGCATGGACTTATATGACCCATGTTTCATATAAAACGAAGCATGGACTTGCCATATGACCCATATTATTAATAAAGTATTTGTTGATTATTCCAGAGAAAAAGCTTATGTTCACATAAAAACCTGTACATGAACTTTGAAAACTGTTTTAGTTGTGTAATAGCCTCATGAAAGGAATAGCCTCGTGGTGGAATGTAGGGACTTAGGCTGAGTGAAAAGTCACTGCAGAGGTACTTTCTATGCTTCAATGTATACGACTCGAAAATTTCGGCGTCAGAGAACAGAGCAGTAGCTGGTTGTGCTAGGTTGAAAGAAATGCGGGAAGTGTTGGCTACAGAAAGGATGGCACAGGGATCCTTAGGAGTGGATTGTGCCTTACCTGGAGACCTAAGTGTGGCATGAATTGTAGTTGGGTTTAATTAATTAAAACCCATCATCAGATATAGGGGTTGAAGCTGAAGATCAGAGAAGTAGAGCAGTAAGCCACTAGAGAGACCTTTTACCTCTACCAATGCTTACAGTGAAGGGGAGATCCTCAGACTGCCTAGACTGTACTGTGACTCCACCAAACCTCAGACTCCAATGAGCTCTTGTCTCCTCCTTATATGCCTTTCTCTGCTCAGCCACTCACTCCTGTATCCACCTATCTAGTGCTGGGATTAAAGGTCTGTGATTCCCAGTGCTGGAATCACCTTTGTGTGAGTTCTGTTTCTCTTTTTAGACAATTCTACCTCCTGTAGCCCAGGGTGGCCTTGAATCCTGGGATTTGTTGTCTGTAGGCTTCTTGCCGCCAGTTCCTTACAGATACCAAGGGACTTTGTATCAGCTCTGTATGTGGTAACATTTTGTATAACTAATGTATACATGGATACATGTAAAATTGGAAGGATACTGGTGAATTGTAACAATGTTAGCTTCTGCTAAGGGGAGTGGGCAAAGGTATATAGGATCTCTTCATCTTGTACTAGTATATGAATCTGGAAGTCTCAAAAATATTAAGCAGATAGTTTATACTAAAGAAGCTGGTATCAGTAGATTCTTGTGCTTTTGTTTTAGCAGGTGATGTTCTAGTCATGTCAGATAAGGATGCTACAGAGACCCCAACGGTAACTGAAGCAGGCCCGATCCTTCAAGATGGGAACTGTGAGCCAACTGAGAAGCCAGAGAATAAATCTCAGCCTGTAGCATCCACTCGGAAAAGACCAGAACCCATTCTTTCCAGGGACCTTGAGGCTTCTCAGCTTCCTGCCCAGGTGACACAAACTGTAACCAAAGTAGCAATCTGTTGAAATTGTGGGATTTAAAAATAAAAGGCTTAAAAGGGACATGGTAGTACTAATTTACTGTGGCCCTTCCTTTTTTTTTTTTTTTTTTTTTTTAATAGCCATAAAGTAACAGCTTTCTGAGTTCTAGAAATACCTCTGTCAGTAATTGTGTTTGCTGCGGGGTATTTATGTGCTGATGGCATTTATCTGTCAATCAGGTGATTTTTACCCAAGTCACGGATTTGCCCGGTTGTGCTTGTCTACTGAGTCGATAGCTTGTCTGTGCTCTTTGGCGTCTCCTCTAATTTCCCTGTTTCCTTTGTCTTGTTTTCTCTCTCACTGGAAAACCAGGAGGCTGTTTGTAAAGATGCACCTCAGACTGGATGGGGCTACTGGGGCAGCTGGGGCAAGTCCCTGCTCTCCTCAGCCTCGGCTACAGTAGCCACAGTAGGTAAGACCCTTGGTCATTTTCTTAGGTTTTGTGTACACTGTGCTCATGCTCTGCTCTGTTAGGAAGCTGAAGCCTAGGGATTAGTTTAAGCCTACGCTTTAGTGATGGTAAGTCAGTGGGATTTTTGTCTTTTGGTAAGGAGATAATGACAAGAATCCATATATTATTAAAATAATGTGCCTTTGGGACCATGATTTTAGAAACACTGCAGGCTTGGGTTTTTGCTTGTTTTATTGATTCTTCAGTTTCAGTAACAACACAGAGCACACAAATGTTAATTGTCTTTCCCATTAGGACAAGGTATTTCAAATGTCATCGAGAAGGCGGAGACTTCTCTTGGAATTCCTAGCCCCACTGAAATTTCAGCTGAAGTCAAGCAAGCAGCAGGTCAGCACATGTGCTCAGGGTTTTGGTGGAAATGGGCATTTCAGTTCATTTTCAACACTAACACTTCGTAATAATACTAATTCAGCATTTGACACTCAGGGTGACTCGGGACTGTGAGGAACAGGGCGTGAATCTTGAGTGCTGGCCGTGTCTCCTGAAACCATTCATATGTCTCTTTATTGCACTTTTGCATGGATGAAGTGATTCAGAGGACTGGTAAACATTTATAATAAGGCCATGAGCATAGAATGTGAGAAGTGTTCTGTGTTCTGTCCGCCATAATTAAGTTTATCATCAGTAAGAATTAGCTAAGTTTGAGTAAGTTGTGGCAAGACAAAAAAGATTTTACTGTGTTAGCTTTTTAGTTCTCACTTGGATTTTTTTTTTTAAAGTAAAGATGAAACCTTATTCTGGTCTGTCTGGATCAAAGGAAAACCTATAGTCACTCAGACCCAAAGGGCACAGTTATTATCACTATGGATCTAGAGGGTCAGGGGCCAGAACAGAGTTTTAAAACCATGTTTACTTCTTCTGTCTCTTGGGGGCCTTATTGTTTCTCACTGTTGCTTTTCGTTGTTTATTTCTATCATTTTCCCTTGATGCCACCTGACTGTTTTCTCCAGCTCCACCTTTATAGAATTCTGGCAAACACAACCTCTAGAAAGTAGCTGGCACCAGTTATTCCACTTAGGAATTTCTTGGAGTAAGAATTAGATTAGCATTAAAATTAGGTCACTTGATGGCATGCAGTTTAATTATGGCCAGAGACAAGCTCATGTTACACAAACATGGCCCCACAGGCTTCTGCCTGTGAATTTGAGGCTTTGTGTAGTGTGTTTGTTTAGACTGAGTCTGGAGTAGCCTTTACTCCAAGGGTTTGTTTCAGGCCCAGCTCTCCTGGGGGCTCAATCCACTTCCCAGGTGCTTAGTCTGCTTGGTAGGTTGGAAGTCAAGTTTCTTAGTTTAGTGTGAACTATGGGATTGTTTAGCTTACAGCTCCAAAGCAGGTTCTTTTTCCAGCCTTGGGGAGTCTCCTTGTGCCGATGTACTGAAAACCGAGCAGTGCAGTATTTATGGAAAAGCACTCAGACATATGTGTGTAGAAGCTGAGAATTCTGGGATGCCTCCATACTCTCCAGTCTTGCAGATTCCTCTCAACTCTTGCTGTCTCCTGTCTCTCTGTCTTTCCCTCCCTTTTGGTACTTGGAAAGTTCTCCTGGACAGCAAGCCAGTTCAGCCATGGGAGTCACTTTAGTTCTCTGTTCTGTTGATCCAAAATCTTCTTGCCTGACTTTGAAAGTAGTTTCTAATCTCTTGTGCAGTTTTGTAGCTGCCATGGTAGGAGGGCAAGTCCCACAGCAGTTAATACATTGTAACTGGAAGCAGAAGCCCACAAATCAGGTGATAGTTCAGTCTGTAAACTGCTTGTTATAGCATGAGGACCTGAGGTCCACTCCCAGAACCCATGTGAAAAAAAACTCTAATACTGCTAACTGTTGGGAAGGCAGAGATAGGAAGCTGCCTGGGGCTTGATGGTCAGCTAGCTTAATCAGTGAGTCCCAGGTCCCAGTGAGGAACTGTCTCACAAAATGCTATCCTAAAGAACAGTCAAGGTTAACCTCTGGCCTCCACATATCTGCAAATGTGTACTACACACACATGAACACATATTCAACACCCTCTTAGCCCCCAAAGTTGATCTCTTACAGGATTTTTAAAGTTAATAAAATGGAACAGATTGTTTTTAGGCACAACCACCTTTGTAATGCAGTCTGTTTGATGACAGGTGGTGAGCATCGTTTTCTAGGACACAGCGAGTTACAGCTTACTTTTAGCTGTATAGCTCTATGTTTGGATCTTTGGAGAGGTAGTTTTGTGTATATTGTGTAATCAGTAGAGCACTGATAGGTACTTCCTTGGATCTATATACTTGGAATATAAAAGTATTTTATTAACTGAGAAGATTCATGTACTCTCATCCCTGGACAGCCGCTTGTCTATTTCCCAGTGCTGAATGGTTTTCCCTTGTCCAGAGGTTTGTGTCTCTGAGATTATCCAGTAGATAGCTTGAATGCATATCAGTCTTTAGTTTGTTCAAGACTTGACTTTATTTTTGAAATGAAATAAGTGGAAAACAGCTGTCTACTCTAGCTTTTATTTTAACATAGGCAGATGTTTTAAAATAAATACAGAAAGACCTGAAGCTTTGTGTGGAGAAACAAGGTCTAATTAAAAAAAAACACACACAAATTTGCTATTAAAGCAATTAACAATCCTTTCTTTCATCTTTACCACCCTCTATTTCAGGAGAAACAGATGGCAGTGAGAACGAACGCTCACCAGTGGCTGGTCCTTTCGGGGTGCTCTCGACCATCTCAACGGCTGTGCAGAGCACGGTGAGGGAAAAGCGCACACCCTGCCCTGTGCTGGCGTGATGGGCTGTGTGCCTGTCTCCCTGTCTTGGGATGCGTGTGTACTGTTGCTCCTAAGAGTCCAGAGAAGTGCCGTGTGAGCTGGTTATTTCAGGGCTGGCAAGTTCTGCTTTGGTGTCCTTAGGGAGTGTCTCTGCTTCACAGAGATATTTTCTTATCACTTCATCTTTTTTTAAGATTTTTTTGAACTTTTTTTAATTGATATTTATTGAGCTCTACATTTTTCTCTGCTCCCCTCCTTGCTTCTCCTCTTCCTTCAATCCTTCCCCAAGGTCCCCATGCTCTCAATTTACTCAGGAGAGCTTGTCTTTTTCTACTTTCTACTTCCCATGTAGATTAGATGTAAGTCTTAGTGTTCACATTGTTGTCTAAGTTCTCTGGGATTGTGGTTTGTAGGCTGGCTTTCTTTGCTTTATGTTTAAAAACCACCTATGAGTGAGTACATGTGATAATTGTTGTTCTGTGTCTGGGTACCTCACTCAAAATAATGTTTTCTAACTCCATCCATTTTCTTGCAAAATTCAAGCTGTTGTTATTTTTTTTTCTGCTGTGTAGTACTCCATTGTGTAAGTGTACCATATTTTCCTTATCCATTCTTCAGTCGAGGGGCATTTAGGTTGTTTCCAGGTTCTGGCTATGACAAACAAAGCTGCCATGAACATAGTTGAGCACATGTCCTTGTGGCACGATTGAGCATCCTTTGGATATATACCCAAAAGTGATATTGTTGGGTCTTGAGGAAGGTTGTTTCCTAATTTTCTGAGAAATCGCCACACTGACATCCAAAAGGGTTGTACCAGCTTACATTCCCACCAGCAATGCAGAAGTTTTATAACTTCACCTTTTAAGCAGAAGGGACATTTGATCTTTTTGATGGATACTTGCTAAACTGTAGATGATGAAAATGTTTAAAAAAGGTTAGCATAGGGCTCTTAATGTCTTTCTTACATGGGGGTAGATGGCTAGTATTTTTCTTTCTTTCTTTCTTTCTTTCTTTCTTTCTTTCTTTCTTTCTTTCTTTCTTTCTTTCTTTCTTTCTTTCTTTCTTTTTTTAAGAGCCAGGGTCTTTGTAGCCCAGACAGCCTCCAGTATGCAGTCACCCTGCCTTCGTTCCCAAGTATAGGGATTGCAGGCATGCCTTACCATGCTTAACCCTACTTTAACTTTGAAATATGGTAGCACATAGAATATAACATCATATGTGTTCAGTTTGAGTTTTCATAGCATACTACTTTTAACCATAGTAAGAAACCTGTGAGTCCATTACCTTTCCTTCTTGAGGCATGTGCTCTTCCCCAGCTCAGATAGCCACTGCCAGGACTTCTGCTATCATGAGTTAATTTTGACCTCCTCTTCTGCTTTGTATAAATGGAGCTGTATGTGTGCATCCCGTGACCTTCATACATTGTGTCTATATACATCCATATTGCAGCTTTGCTGTATTCCTAGTGTGACTCGGTCACATTTTATTGCTCCTACAGTTGGTAAACACCAAGCCAGGCTCCAGTGTAAGCTGTTACAGAGTGTTGCACACCCTTATTCATGCCTTCTAGTACATCTCCACACACATTTCTCTTGGGTGTGTAGCTATGCGTGGGCTAGGTAATGCAGCTGCAGTAGATACTGACCCACAGTTTCCCAAAGTGGTTCTTCCTGTGTGCATTTGTGTGAGCTGTGTATGATTTCTTTAGCTGCTTCTCAGCCTGCCCACTGCTTAGTAGTTTCTGCTTCTTCTTTTTTTAATCTCTTGGTACTGGGATTGAGCCTAGGGCCTCACACATGACAAGTACTCCACCCTAGCTGCCTTTTACCTTTTATTCTGAGGAGGGTTCTCATCATTTGCCCAGACTAGCCAGAGTTTACTGGTTGTTCCTTTGCTGTACCTGAATATTCTCCTCTGTCAGCCTCCTGCTTACTGGTGCCACACTGTTCAGCCCTTACTGAACAGTCAATCTGTAAACACTCTCAGTGTTGTTATGGTGGAGTTTTACTGCTTTCCTAGGGCAAGAGCGTTATCAGTGGGGGTTTGGATGCCTTGGAATTCATTGGGAAGAAGACAATGGATGTCATAGCAGAAGGGGATCCTGGATTTAAAAGAACCAAGGGCCTGATGAACCGGACTTCTACACTATCACAGGTACTGTTTCCTTTACCTGTGTGATTCCTGTTTGTGCTTTGATTTGATTTTAGCCGATGTTAACTTGGGAACCTTGTTGATGTTTTTTCTTTTGAATTTTCTGGGGTTGAGGGTGGACAGTGAGAGCGCAGTGCATAGAGGAGTTCCAGCTGTTTGTCCCTCGTCTCCCTGTTGCGGCGGCCTCCTGTCAGCAGAGCGGACCGCTAAACCCTGTCAGAGCTGTTGATTAATTGTTAAACCACCTGCAGAACAGCACCTGGTGTCTTGGGTGTCAGATTCTGTGTGATGACTTTCTTTCGGCCATTCCCCAGCTTCTTGGATGTGAACTGCGAAGCCAGGCTGAAGGGGCTGCGCTCTGAGTGGAGCCCGAGCAGCTGTGCTCCTTTCTGCTCTGTAACCTCACTCTTGAGCTCTCATTACGTGGTGCATTGCAGCGCTTTCTTCTCTTTTTAGGTTTTAAGAGAGGTGAAGGACAAAGAAGAGCGGTGGCCCTCCAGCGAGGTAACCATGGAAACAGACAAGAAAACTCATTATGGGCTACTCTTTGATGAGTTTCAAGGCCTTTCACATCTAGAAGCTCTGGAGATGCTTTCACGAGAAAGTGAAATAAAGGTAATTCCGAACCCTGCACCCCTCCGGAGAAAGTCTTCACACAAGGGATGCTGCAGATGTTTCTCTGTTGTGCATTTGGAAGGCTCAATGTTTTGGTGGTAGCTTGAGACTTTGGAAGTGCCCTACACACAGCAAGCAGAAACTGTGCATGAACTAAGTGCTGGGAAAAGTCAAGGGTGATTGTCCTTATGACACAGAAAGGACAGGATTAAATAAGAGCTCTTAACACATTTGCCATTTCCATCATCTGTCTGTTTGTATTTATCTATTTTCTGCATTCTCCTTGGCTTTAGCTGCCAAAAAACTTACTTAAGCAACCAGTTTGCATGCAGTTAGCTATTGGCTTTTAGTTGTTTGAAGTTTGTGTGTATGTGTGTAAACAAGACCTCACTGTGTAGCCCTAGCTGGCCTGAATTTACTGTAGACTAGGCTGGCCTCAAACTCATTGAGATCTGATTGTGCTTCCTGAGTGTTGGGATTAAAGGTGGACATCATCATACCTGGATCAGTATTCACCTTTTTTTATTTGTGTATGTGTATGCCATGTGTGGTAGGTTCCCATGGATGCCAGGAGGGAATACCAGATCCCTCAGGGATTGTAGGTGATAGTGAGCAGCATGGTTGGGATCTAAACTCAGGTCCCGTGGAAGAGAAGCAAGCACTCTTAGCTGCCGGGCCATCTCAGCCCAACTGAAGACCTTTCATTCCCCTTTGTTTCTAAGCTGCGGTTAAGCACGGATAGTTTTCAGACATCTCTAGCCCATGTAACTTTGGAAAGCACAGATTCTCCCAACTTTCCTTTCTGTAGCAATTAGCTTTTGAATTGAAATTTTTTTTAATGATTTGTTTATTCTTATTTTATGTGCTTTGGTGTTTTGCCTGCATGTTTGTCTGTGTGAAGGTGTCAGATCCCTTCAGACCAGAGTTACAGAAAATTGTGAGCTGCCATGTGGGTGCTGGGCATCGAATCTGAGTCCTCTGGAAGAGCAGCTGGTGTGCTTAACCACTGAACCATCTCTCCAACTCCACGTTAAAAGTTTTAAGGACTAGGAGTTGGCTGTGGTGATACAAGTCTATAGTCCTGATTCTCAGGAGGCTGGGGTAGGAGACTTGAGAGTTCAGGACTAGCCTGGGCCACATAGTGAGGTGGTGCTCCCCCTCCCTCTCCAGAACAGCTGTGCTAACTGGTTAGTTTATCATTCAGCTTTCATTTGACCTGCGGACTCATCTCTATTTGAGATTCTTTTAATTTTCATTGTCTCATATCCATCTAGGTGAAATCTATCCTTAGTTCTCTGAGTGGAGAAGAATTACAGATCACAAGACTTGAGCTAGAGCAGCTCAAAGAAGCGTTCTCCCTAGCAGATTTCTGTGAGGAAGAGGAGGAGGAGAGACAAGGTAACCAGGCTTCTGCACCCAAGTGTTGGCTCCCTTATTGGCTGCAGTGATGCCCTTGAAGTCAGTTACTGGCCCGACTGTACTTTCCTTACAGAATCGCCATGCTTTCCTCTCACCAGGGCTTGCTCACCCTCTGCTGCAGGGCCCTGCCATTTCCCTAAGTCTCATCTGCTGCACAGGTCTACCTGTTGCTCTTTTGGAGAGCTGTACCTGTCAGATCCTTTCCTGTTTGACTGGTCGCCACTGTGAGCCTTCGTGCCTGTTTAGACACTTCAGCTGTACCTTTTCTCTTCTGTAACCCCTGGCCCTTTCCTGAAGCATGCAAGGCAGTTGTTACTCAGACTGTGGGTGATCCTTTGTCTTTGTCATGTTTACAATTTAATATCTCTGTGTGTTAGGAAATGTAAATGTTGAAACGACTCAGTTTTGCAAAATTATCAAGAAATATGGTTTACTTATAGTTCTTGGGAAGTGCATCTTAAACTCTGATCAGGACAGTTTTATTTGGATATTTCAGTTGAAAATATTTCCAAAATCAAGAAGGTAGAGTTTAATGATGATTTTTGCCCCTTTTTGATGAAGCAAGCAGTTAGAAACATTGAAGTTGGGCCAGGCAATGATGGCTTATACTTTAATCCCAGCACTTGGGAGGCAGAGGCAGGTAGATCTCTGTGAGTTTGAGACTGTTCCAGGACAGTTTCCAAAGCTACAGAGGAACCCTGTCTTGAAAAAAAAAAAAAAACCAAAATAACAAAACAAAAAACCTACAAAAAACCTTGAAGTTTAATGTAAAGATTCCTTCAGAGATATCGTGGCACGTGGGGCCTGCCGCCTGTGCAGCAGGTTAAGCTGGTGGTTTGTGAGGTGTGGTGTGGTGATCCTATGTCCCTGTCACCATTCAGGGAGTCAGACCTGCACAGCACTGTCAGAATGGAACAGAACTTTCTCTAAAGAGTTTTAATTCAGCTTTTACTGTTTTAACACCCAGTTGATGAATAGCCACAGGTGAAACTGGTGCCGCCACAGTGTGTGTCTGTCAAAGTGGTGGCACTTGCACTGCTGTGTTGAGTCTTTATTGCTACCCACTCAGAGTTACAAGGAAAGGGCCTGTTTCATTGACCCTTGAATTGGAGAAAGTGGTATAAATTATTAGTGTTATCAGATCTCAACTCTAAAGTGCACTCCCATATTCTGTGCAGCGGATACTGAAGGATGATCGTTGTCTCAGGAAGAGCATGTGGTCTTGGGTTTGAGCTGAACCCTCTTCTGACACAGAAGACTGTTTTCACAGAAGTATGAACAGCGCATAGGCCATTCAGAAGGGAATAGCTGGTGGAGCATGCCTGTAGCTCCAGTGCTTGGGAGGCAAAGGCAAGAGGAATGCAGTGAGTTCCAGGCCAGCCTGGGCTTCATAGTGAGACTGTCTCAAAAAACCAAAAACCAACCAACCAAACAAAAACCAGAAAGAATACTAACAGGGCTGGAGAGATGGCTCAGTAGTTAAGAGCTGCTCTTGCAGAAGACCCAGGCTTGATTGTTATAATCCAGACCAGGTGACCTACAGCTGCCTGAGACTCCATCTCCAGAGTATCCAATTAGTCAGGGATCTATTGCTGTGAAGAGACATTATAACCACAGCAGCCCTTATCATTGAAAGCATTTAATTGGGGCTTGCTTACAGTTTCAGAAGCAGGGAGTATGGCAGCACACAGGCAGACGTGGTGCTGGAGAGTTCCACATCCAGATCCTCTGGCAGCGGGAAGAAAGCAAGCCAGTGCACCTGGCATGGGCTTTTGAAACCTCAAAGCTCACCTGCAGTGACACACTTCCTCTAAAAAGGCCACATCTACCCAACAAGGCCATACCATCCAACAAGGCCATACCCCTAATCTTTTTAAATAGTGATACTCCTTAATCTAATAATTCAAACATATGAGCCGCTGGGGACCATTCTTATTCAAACCATCACACATACCCCTGCCAACACAAATATAATTAAAATAAAATTAATCTTTAAAAAACAACAGCAAGGTGAATGAAATGACCCTTGACTTATTTAAGTCACTGATGAAGAAAATTCAGAATATGTGAAAGTTAGAATTTTGTGAAATATATATATTGTTTCGATGACCTTTGCAGTTTCCAGGGCTGTTAGTGCACTCTCCTGAGGAGCCCTGTGGTGCTAGTACGGTAGCATTCACATTTGTGTGTTTTACAGTGAAATGTGTCAGCATTTTGGATATCTTCCCAACAGAAATGAATGTTTTTCACCGACTGATATGTGATGTATAAAATTGCACCTGAGCAAGAGATAGTCCAGTGGGTTTTAATTTAAGACACTCATGTACAAGACTGGGTAGTGTGTCTTCAGGTTCATTGTAATATAGGTCGTTGCTGCTAACCTTTAAGAAATAAGCACTTCCTGAATTTTCCTGTAGTGTTAGAGTATTCAGTGGGGGCTGGAGAGATGGCTCGATGGGTAAAATGCAAGTGTAGGAACTGAGCTTGAGTCTCCAGAACTCATGTGACAGCTGGGCGTGGTAGAGGGCTTCTGTGATCTTAGCATCCTTACAGGCAGGTGGGAAGTGGAGACTGCAGAATCCTGGGATATTGCAGGCCAGTTAGCCTGAAGGACACTCCAGTGGACATCAAAGAGACCCTGTCTTAAACACAGAGGAAGGCTGTTCCTCTGCCCTTTCCCTTTCTTTCTCTCTCCCCCTCCTCTCCTCTTTCCCCCTTCTCCATCTCCGCCATATACACTCACAAGATTATTCAAGGGTGATTATTACTGTTATCTGGGAAGTCATTAAAGGGAATCTTCCGTTGCTGCAGTGCCTCTCTGTAAGGTTGGATATTTTTCACATACTTAGAACATCCTGTCTCAGCAGTCTAAGTGTGAAAATGCTCAGAGAGTCTAGCTCTCTTCATTAAGTTAGCTGTCAGACATGGAGCAAAGATAGACAACAGTGATACTGTTTTCATTAAGTTTTCCTTTTTTGGAAGATATATTTTTGGAAGTATGTTTTATTGGGGCTGGCAGCATAGCTCAGTGGGTAGAATGAATGTTTGTCTGTATACATGAAGCTATGGGTTCAGTCCCACAACCACATAAAATGGACCATGGTGACCCATGTATGTAATCTCTGTACTTGGGAGGTGGAGGCAAGAACTTCTGTTAAAGTTCCTCTTCTACTATGTAGATCCTGTTTCAAAAAGTTTATTTTATTAACAAGTAGTAGGGCTAGTACCATTTGTGTGTGTGTGCGCGTGTATATGTGTGTGCGTGCGTGCGTGCGTGCGTGTGTGTGTGTCGGGGGGTGGTTCATGCCCATATGTGCATATTCTTGTTGAGGCCAGAGTATTATGTAGGGTGCCTTCCTGTATTGCTTTCCATCTTATGGTTTTGTTTGTTTGTTTTTGTTTTTTTTTTTGACAAGATCTCTCAGTGAGTCTGGAGCTCCAGCTTCTGCTAGGCTGGCTGACCAGTGTCCTCTGCTCTGCATTCCAGCATTGACATTACAGACATGAGCTGTCATGCCTGGGTTTCATGTGCGTGCTGCAGATTCTAATGCGAGTCATCGTCCTTGCACAGTGGGCACGCTACTCATGGAGCCGTCTGCCCAGCCTGGCTTTATTTTATTCCTAATAGTTTGCATTTTTCTTTTATTGAAAATATTTTTTTTCCTCATACAATATATCCTGATTATAGTGTTTATTATTTTTAATGAATAAATACATTAGTTTTTATTTTTATTGTATTTAAAATATATATACTTTGCATTTAAAATAATAGTTCATGGGAGGCCACGGGGTTACAATGTTTGAGGATTCCTGGGCTAATTATGCCAAACTGCAGCCCTATAAAAACTGTGATTGTGATTGCTTTAGAACTGTGTGTCCCTGTTCTCCGGTGATTCATCTTTTACTTCCGTTGAGTGTGGGAAGCTTGTCTTAGACGGCTCTCAGTCTCACTTAATTTTTTCCTTTCTAATCTACTGTGAGTGGGAAATCAAATAATTTTGTCTACTGAAAGCAAAGCAAAGATCCTCTGAGACACCTCTTGGGCCTTTCTGTGTGAGAACAGAGGCTGAGTGTGGCTTTACCTGTAAGACAGGGATGTTTTCTGCTCTCTTTGTGTACTGAGAAGTCAAGCTGGCTGTGTATGTAATGACCGTTTATGTAAAGGTTCAGCTCTTGATTGGAAATGGAATTTGAATGTCCGGAGATCTAGAGATGCCAGTTTAGTACCCCAAGTGATACAGTGAAGTTAGACTTGGGTTCCAAGTAAAGACCCACCTCTCACAAAACCATGTGACCTCTGTAAGTGTCTCAGCACGGAGCCTTTGTTTCATCTTGGTTAGAAGATGATCTAATTCCTCTCATGGTGTCATGAGGAAAAATTAAATATATTTGTAGCCAGGCACATAATAGGTACCAAACAAATGTTTGCTAGTATTTTCATTATTTAGAAAACATAAGTTATAAATAGGGGAAAAAATTTGCATTTTAAAAAACTCAGGCCGGGCGGTGGTGGCGCACGCCTTTAATCCCAGCACTCGGGAGGCAGAGGCAGGCGGATCTTTGTGAGTTCGAGACCAGCCTGGTCTACAAGAGCTAGTTCCAGGACAGGCTCCAAAACCACAGAGAAACCCTGTCTCGAAAAAAAAAAAAAAAAAAAAAAAAAAAAAAAAAAAAAAAAAAAAACAAAACTCAACAGGAAACCAATAAAGCAGTTTTGGTTTAAGTTGTTCCATTGTTCCTAACCAGACAGTTCCCATTTATTTATCAACCTAATTTAGGTTATTTGTGCATGGAAAAATTAACAGTACTTGTTCAATTTAGTCAACATCTGGGCTTTGTATGATAATTAGAAGTCTTCATTTTTCTTTACTGTTCAGAGGGCTCCAAATTTTCTGAACAGATGGAACTGTCTGTGACATTTCCTCTTACCTTTGCTAGGAATGAAGACTTTGAAAACACAGTAGTGGCTTCCAGCGCAGTCCTCCTGCCTGCCCTGCCTCAGCTCTCCTATGTGGTTCCCTGCCTGCCTGTCCCAGTTCTCTGGTTTTGGTGGAAAATGCTCAGTGACTTGATAGTTAATTGTATGTCACTGTTGCTGTTAAGACAGAGATTTGGGAATTACAGGAGGAGACGGTGCAGAGCCCAGCTCTGGATGTTGGTTGTTTTCCTTCCCATGAGCCCCCATGTTTTCTAGACCTCATTTCAGAGTCTTTCTGTATAGGCAGCCCCAGCCTCTCTATTCACAGCCCTCTTAAGCAGAAGTACCTGCTTCCTTTCCATCCATGCTCTAAACAGATTCTCGGCCATTGAGCCCCACGCCCAGCCCAGCAACTACTCTTTTAACACAGCAGCTGTTTGTGTCCTCAGTTTATGTAGCAGGGCTTGACAGCAATTACCACATTTTTTCATCACTGCTTTTAATAGTAATAGCTTTTTGATCACTCGGATAATATAGTTGGATGCTTATAAGTTTAATATATGTGCTGTTGTAATGTTCTGTTATGAACAACCTAAAATATACCACAGGGTGGTATTGTTATGTGGGGTAAATATAGATTTATAATTGCTTATTTTGTGAGTTCCTTGGACCGTTCCAGGTGGTTTCAGAGTCCTCCCTTACACCCAGTCACATTTAGAACTTAGTTGGGAAAACCAAATGACTATGGGAGCCAGGTGTTGTTTCCTTTCATGGTAGGTTGTGAGTAGGAGTTGTTTACATGAGTTATGTGAGTGAGGGCTGTATCAGCGAATAGCTTTTCCCAAAGCCTGTCATCCTGGGATCAGTAAATCGTTTTTATTCCCTGCCTTAGCTGTCAAGAGAGAGGACAGAAGAACAGGTGGAAGAAAAGAACCAAGATGCCCCCCCCCCTGGAATTTTTCTGAGGATGTTTTTGGGGAAATATTAGGTATAAAGGAGAACTAATTTGGTCTTATGCACCATGGACTTATGATTAAGAAATACTCATGTTAGTGCTCAAAAATTTCTGTGTTTTAAGAGTTCTATTCTGCACTACACGGACTGGGCCTCAGCAGGCGCCAATGGGCAGGGTTAAGATGAGAGAGAGAGGAGGGCATTATTGTTTGTGTAGGTGTTTCTTGTGTTCTCCTTATCCCAGTGAGGGCCTTTAATACTGGGATGACACCATGACCAGAGCAACTTAGAGAAGAAAGGGTTTATTTTGCTTACACTTTTAGGTAACTCAGACAGAGAAGAAACCTGGAGGCAGGGGCTGATGCAGAGGCCATGGAGGGGTGCTGCTTCTTACTGGCTTGCTCTTCATGGCTTTCTCAGCCTGTTATCTTGTAGAACCCAGGATCACCAGCCCAGGTGTGACTGCCCACAATCAGCTGGGTCCTCCTGATCAATCACTCATGAAGACAGTGCTCTACAGGCTTGCCTACAGCCCCATCTTAGAGGGACATTTTCTCAATTGAGGTTCACTCCTCTCAGATGACTCAGCTTGGATCAAGTTGACTTAAATCTAGACAGCAGAGCATCCTTGGTGGTCTTTCTCAAATGTTTTATGTGGGCCTTGGTTTTTAGGTGACGAAGATTTTACCAAGGAGATAACAGAGCTGTTTGCTCAGCTTCATGTCTCTTCTAGACCAGAGAAACTCACCAGGGTAAGTTACTGCATTTTGGGGATCTTAGTTATTTTTTTTTTATAAGTTTTTAATGGGTAGTACAGTGTGGTGGCACATGCCTGTGATTCCACCACTTGGGAGGCTGATGCAGGGGAATTGCATGTTCAAAGCCAAGCCAACTTAGGCTACTTAGCAAGACCTTGTCTCTTATCCATTCCCACCCCCACCCCCGCCACCAATATATGGATGTAAGATTGTAATTTTCTGGCCAGTTAGATTGCCAGAATTGAGGGTTTATTCTTGATAGTTCTAGAAAAGGAGCACATTTTCCCTGCCTCCTGCTCTCCAGGTTAGCGTGTGAAGTCCATGTCCACCTCTTCATCACATGTCCCTTTCTGACCTGTTTATATGGAGTGCTTCATTTGCTTGAATGCTTAATCAGGCCTGTAGAGTTGGTCATTTAAAGTTGACAGTGCTGGGCCGGGCAGTGGTGGTGAACGCTTTTACTCCCAGCACTTGGGAGGCAGAGGCAGGCGGATTTCTGTGAGGTCGAGGCCTGCCTGGGCTACAAGAGCTAGTTCCAGGACAGGCTCCAAAGCTCCAGAGAAACCCTGTCTTGAAAAACAAACAAACAAACAAACAAAAAAACAAAACAAAACAAACTAAAACAAAAGTTGACAGTGCTGACCAAACTTCATGGAATCAAAGGTAAAGTGTCTATTGAGTGAGATCACTGATCAGAGATGATGAGCTGTGGCCCCGTCCAGTTTGGACCTTGAGCTGGACATTGCTGTGGCCACACAATGACTGACAGTGACTCTGCTAGTGACCATTTAGAATGTGGGATGAGGAAGTGCCATGACTGAGCCTGGTCTTTGGTGGAGACTCTGCACTGCCATGTGTCTAAGAGTCTTGTCTGAGCTCAGAGAAGGGCACTCCCGTGCATCCCACTGTCTGCTTATGAGATACTGTTGGTTTTCATGCATTGCTTCCAGCCTCTGCATCCACCTCTCCCAACCCTGAACAGCTGCAACAGAAGTCAGCAGCAGGCATGCATCATTGCTTGGCCACAGAGCTGCTGGCTGTGTGGAGTCAGCACAGCCATCCTTTCTCCCCTCCCAGCAAATGAGAAGTGAGAGACTTTGTGTTGTGTCCCAGTGTGCTGGCCTGGGGAAGATGGTGCATTCCCCAGTGTGTGCTCAGCAGCCACTTAGCACTCAATCTCCTGGCAATTGTTATATCACTGGGACTGAAATTTCTGATGTCAGCAGCTCAAGGGAGGAAAGACTTATTAGTTAGCTCATGTTTTCAGAGGATCTTAGTCTTCCATAGTGGGGAAGGCATGGCTGTTCAGCCCTGACCCCATGGTGCCAGGAGTGTGAGGTACTGGCTATTCCTGTGGTAGCAGAGAGTGGCCTGGGCCATACCCTTCAGAGTCCTGCCCCTAAGAACCTTCTCATCCCCACCTCCGAAAGAGTTCACAGCCCTCCAGCATATTCCACCAGCTGGGAACTGTTCCAAATGTGAGCCCTTAGGGGACATTTCAGAGTCAAAGCATGACATTGCTTATAGTCTATTGGAAGCAGCATCAAAAAGAAAGAAAATTTGACAAAAAACAGTATAAAACATTCCTGTATGGTCACTAGTGTTGACATGCTACTTGTATTGCTAACCGCTTGTGCTTTCTCTGTCTTCACATGCATCTTATTGTTCTTGTAGCTGTTTGAGAATAAGTGGGACGATGTGCCTGTCCCTTTGCATAACCTCAGTACGGTTGTCACTTCCGCATAATAACATGAATGAAAGAGTTGGATTTCATCTGTTCTCCATATTTGTCAGCTGACTATCCTAGTTATGGTCCTGTTGCTGTGAAGAGACAATATAACCATGGCAGAACTTATAAAAGAACCCATTTAATTGGGGGCTTGCTTACATTTCAGAGGCCATTGTCATCATGGCAGGGGCATGGCACACGTGGTGCTGGAGCAGTAGCCGAGAGCTACATCCTGATTCAAAGACAACAGGTGGAGAAACTGGGCCTAACGTGGACTTTGAATCATCAGAGCCCACCCCAGTGACACACTTTCTCCAACAAGGCCATACCTCCTAGCCTTCTCCTTTTCAAATAGTGCCTCCCCAGTGACTAAACATTTAAATATATGAGCCCATGGGAGGCATTCTTTGATGTTCGTTCGTTTTGCCCAGACAGGATTTCTCTGTGTAGCCTTGATTGTCCTGGAACTCTCTCTCTGAAGACCAGGCTGCCTTTGAACTCACAGAGATTTGCCTGCCTCTGCCTTCTAAGTGCTGGGATTAAAGGTGTGTGCCACTACTGCCATCAGAGAATCCCATAATCTGGGATATAAGGCTTGCCCCACCATCACCACCTAGACTTTAGAGGTCATTCAGGTTCAAACCACAACACTGTCTTAATGACTTAATGGTGTTCTTCCTAGCAGGTGTTTTCTTCTCACCTCTAGCCAACCTGAGACTGAACTGGTTTTAGTTGTCCTGTGTTTAGACTCCTTTAATATGTAGTAGTTCCTCAGCCCTTGTCTTTCATGATGTATATCTTTTTGAAAAACACAACTTCCCCGTTCTAAAAGTAGAACATTCCTGTTTGCTACCTGCCTTGAATGTTTGCCTGCTGTTTTCTCTCTTTTGTTAGTCTGTACATTCCTAGGCCAGAACCTTGTGTGATGACTTGTCACATCTGCAGGTGTGGAATGTTTATCTGTTCCTTATTGGTGTATCTATTAAGACAAGTACTTAAAAGTCACGTGGTCTTTTCTGATGAGAAGAGCTTGTCCTCCAGAGTGCTGATATATTCCTGGTAAGAACTACATTGAATTGTTGGATTATCTTCCTTTATTTAGGCAAGAAATACAGCCTACGAATGGATTAGAACATCTCTGGCTAAACCAGCAGCAGAGAAAGAAGGAGGAGAAAAACAGTTGGAGACAGAAAATGTTGAGGAAGCCAAAAAGAATTCAATAGAGGTAACCAAAGCAACTAAGCTCTTTAAAAAAAAAAAAAAAAAGATAAAATTGAGGGGTGCAGATGGCTTAGTGGTAAAGTGCTTGCTGCCCATGCATTAGGACCTAAACTTGGGTTCCCAGCATCCACATAAAAGGCTGGGTGTAGTATTACACAGTTGTAACCCCAGCACGGGAGAGTGTGGGAGTGTGAAGGCAAAAGGATTCTCCCAGGTCTCACTGGCCAGTCCACCTCTATCCATAAACTCCAAGTACAGTGAGAGACCCTGTCACAAAAAATAAAGTGAAGCCAGGCGATGTTCTACAGAGCTAGTTCCAGGGCAGCTAGGGCTGTTAAATAGAGAAGCCCTGTCTCGAAAAACAACAAAACAAAACAAAAAAAAACCAAAAGTGGATAGTGATATAGGAAAGCATTGGACATGGGCCTCTGGATTCCACGTGCACACACACAGGTAAATACCCCCCCACATCCCCCACTAAAATAGAGATTGCAGTTGAGATGAGGGTCCTTTTATTTTTGTTAGGCTTGTATCAGTAATTTCAATGTTATGATTCAGGGTGGCATCATAAAATAGTTTCAGACTGTAGGCGAGGAATGAAGAAAAATAGTGTGGAAGGAAGGAGGGAAGTTGGATGTTACCTCAGAGTAAGTTGTCACTTACCTCAGTCCTTTGGCCAGAGTTAGTTACATGGTCACAGCCAGTCTTCTGTAGTTGTAAGCCGCACTGTGGAAGAAGAGCGGGTCTAGTAAACAGTGGCCTTCATCTTTCCTGCATTCTTCAGTGTGGGAAGCAAGGGACCATCATTTCCACTTGCAGCAATAAACACCAACAATAATATTCTGTTTCTTTGTTTGCTTTGATTTTTAGGATATCCATGCATTTGCAATCCGGAGCTTAGCAGAACTGACTGCCTGCTCAATTGAACTGTTCCACAAAACAGCGGCATTGGTCCTGCATGGCCAGAAGCAGGAAGTGACAGCCTTAGAGAGGAGCCAGACACTTTCTCAGTAAGTATGATGCAGCCTGCATCTCTCAAAGGGAAACTGCTGAGAGGGTTTTCTTGCTCCTTCCAGGTTTGTTTGTTTGTTTATTTATTTATTTATTTGTGGTTTTTTTGAGACAGGGTTTCTCTTAGTTTTAGAGCCTGTCCTGGAACTAGCTCTGTAGACCAGGCTGGCCTCGAACTCACAGAGATCCGCCCACCTCTGCCTCCTGAGTGCTGGGATTAAAGGCATGCGCTACCACTGCCCGATTTCTTCCAGGTTTTAGAAAGTTTGCTTTTTAACAAGGTTCTGTTCCCATTGCACATGGGTATGTGTTTAGGGTATTGTTAGTGAGCAGGAAAAAAATCTACATATAAACCTGCCCATTTCATTAAAGCATTTGTTCTCTGAAAACTATTTCTTTGCAGATTGTTAGTCTCAGTAGGAGGGGAACTTGGAACAAGTAACTACAGAAAGTAGTCCTACATACTTCAGCTCTTAATTACAGTTGTTAGTTACCACTGTTCGCTGTATGCCAGGTGCCATGCTAAGGCATGAATGTGTATTAGTTCTGGCTTTTACAGCAGCACAAAAGGTGACTGATTAGCACAGCTTTACAAACGGAGAAGCTACGGACCCCAGGCAGTTAAGGGAAGCTGCCCAAGCCCAGCATAAATTTTCTTTTTTAAAATTTTTTTGCTGATTTTGAACAAACATTTCAAAGTAGTAAAATGTGAATAATTCAGTAGGAAGGGTAAACCTAAGCCTAGTAGTTCTAAATCGAAATAGACAGTTTTATGTATGTATGCATACGTGTGTGTGTGTGTGTGTGTGTGTGTGTGTGTGTGTAATCTTGCCTTTGATTGGCCAGTAGGTTAAAGCCTGTGAGAGCTAGAGCTCTGCTCACTGTTGCCGCCCACAAATGCTTTCCCACAGGTATTTTTTGAGTGAGTGCATGCTGAACTATATTTCTTTTCTTCTGGTGGGAATTAGGTTGGTGTTTGATGGTAAGCTTAGCGGCACTGCTGCCGTTCTCCTAGGTTTCTCATGGGGAAGTGAGCAGGCTTCTTAGGGAAAGCTCTCCTAGTCAGTATGGCCTTCTTTAGGAAGAAATGATGGTATTTACTTACTGAAACATGCCTTTGGGAGTCAAAAAGGGGCACCCATGAATGGTCAGTTAGGATAAAACTGATAGACAACCAAAGATGTGAGGGTTCTAAGCAGACTTTTAGTACTAGGATGTCTTCTAACTAACTAATCTTTTGACTTAGTTATTAGCTGAGTGACCGTAGTCAGGTTGTTTAACTTCCTTTAGTTTCATTGTTTTCCCAGCATTTGGGGGGCAGAGGCAAATGGTTCTCTGAGTTTGAGACCAGTCTGGTCTCCATAGTTCCTGGACATCTAGAGTTACATAGAGAGACCCTTTCTCCAAAACAGAACAAAACAAAAAACAAAAAACCCAGCCAACCAATATCAGTGCCTGTCTAGCTCATAGTGGTGTTGAGAGAGTAAAGGAGTCAACACATGATACAGAGAGTATGCCAGTGTTTGAGCCTTGGGAATTTATCACGAGGTACAGAAGAGCTGAGAAAACAATTGCAGGTTAGAGATGAGCAAGGGCAGGGAGCGTTTTCACTGTTCAGGCTGGAGAGACTTGGGCAAGAAGGAAGGGCGCTAGGAAATGGAGGGCTGCCCTTCAGGGACCGGAGCCTGGGAGAGGATGATTGGTTGACAAGTCATGATGAGAAAGAACAGCATGGTGTCCAGTGCAGAGTCAGAGAGCTCATCCACCCAAGAAGCATCCCTTGTAGGAAAAGGCAGCAGGTAAGGTCTGTCTGTAGCAGGAAGAAATGGGCACTTTTCAGCACTTACCCCTCCCAAGTCCTGATGGTGGCCCCTGGAACCCAAGATGGAGTATAGAACAAGTGGCAGGGTCACTCTGTCTCGTAAGTGTGTCTTAGAATGTGTATTCCATACTGAAACACTAGGAGAGAAAGGTGTGTCTGCACCCTTAAAGGCTTCTTTCTCCACTGTTATTAGGAGTGGCCTGTTTAGGTTATTAGAGGAGTAGAAAGAGAAAAAAGGACTCCTCTGATGTGTTCTTCTCTGCAGGGTGACAGTCGTGCTGTGTAAAGATCTGGGCTCCCTGTCTAAAGAGTTTACCACCTGCCTCACCACTGCTGGGGTAAGAGTTCCTGCCTTGTGGGGCTAATGGCTGAATACTTGATACAATTTACACACCATAAAATTCACATGTTTCAGGGTACAAGTTGATGGTTGTTAGTGCTTCTATTTACAGAGATGTACAGTTGTTACTAGACTTGGACTTTAGGATATTTCATCACTGCCCCCTAAGTTTGCCACACAGTAGCGATTCCCTATCCTAGGCAATGATGGGGCATTTCCTGTCTCCACAAAGCTTTCACTATTCTGAATTTTATTTCAGTGGGATCACAGGTGTATGTTTTGTTAGATTAGCATGGTAGTTTTGAACTTAGTCCTGTTTTAGCATGTGCTGGTACTTCCTGTTTTTTATCAACACTTTATTTTATGGCTGAGTATACCACGTTTTATCTTTTTCAGTTGATAGACCTTTGGACTGTTCCTGTTTATGATTGTTGTGAGTGGTGCTGTCACGAGCATGGTGTGAGCTGTTGTGTTCATGGTTTCACTTCTCTCGGGTAGAGTACGAGGTGCAGACTTGCTGGGCTTTTTAGGTGAGATGGTAAATGTCAGATTACTTCCAAAATGGCTCCATATTTTGCGCTCTTATTAGTGGTGCATGAAATGCCGGTTTCCCTGCATCTTCACCAGTGTTAGCAGTGGTTCCTTTGTGGTTTTCGATGTGTTGGTGAGTGTGAAGTGGTGCCTCTCTGCTGCCTAGATTTGCATTCCTCTAGTGTCTAATGATTCTGAGTGCCTTTCCATACACTTCATGGCCACTTGTCTGATGCAGTGCCTTTAATTGGGTTGTTTGTTTTTCATTACTGGATTTTAGGACATTTAGGAGCTCCTTGTGTCTTACGGGATCAGCTTCTTGTCAGGTATGTGCTAGGCACAGACTCGCCCTCTGTATATGGGTTGTTTATATTTTTTACTTGTCTGCTTTTGCAGTGCTGGCCATCAAATCCAGGGACTTATATGTGCACAGCAAATACTCCACTGAGTTGTAGGTCCATCTTTTGGGTTTTTGAGACAGGGTTTGTGTAGTCTAGGCCAGCCTTGAACTTGCTGTCCTCCTGCCTTTGCTTCCTAACTGTTAAAATTACAGATGTATGCCACCATATCGGTGTTCCTATTTTATTTTCTTGATGGTATCCTATGCACAGTTTAAAAATTTCATCAAAATTCTACTCTCAGTAGTTTTCATCATCACATACAGTTTTTGTGTTTTACCTGAGAAACTGTCAGCTAACCCAGATCAACTTTGAGTTTTCTTTGATGAGTGTTGAGCTCTTGTGTCTGTGATGCATATTGAGTTAATTTGTGTGTGTGGTGGGAGGGGCAGGGTACAGCTTCATGGGTTTGCATTCTTCGGTCTCATGCACCCCTTCCCCACTGAAGTCTCTGTCCCCTTGCCAGAGGTCATGACACCCTAGACACACGCGTTATTTCTTATGTCTCTATTTGAGTACCATGTATTATACCATGGTGGTTTACATGAGGAATGACTGCCATAAATTCAGGTGTTTGACTGTTTGGTCCCTGGTGCTGTTTGGGAAGGTCATAGAATTTATAGGATGTTGAGCCTTGCTGGAGAACTTATGTCACTGGAAGTGGGCTTTAAGAGTTTGTAGCCTTGCTGTTCACATTCTGTTTCCTTGTTTGACTGAAAGTGTTTTCAGCCAGTTTCCTGCTCTGGCTGTCTGCTGCTCTGCCTGTTCCATTGTTACAGTCTATAGTTACTGAAGGTCGGTGAGTGATATGGAAGGTGACAGAAAACCCAGGATCACAATGAGATAAACCAAGGGCACTGAGCAGATGAAAACGACTTCACAGTGTGCACATCAGTGTTGTGGAAGAGTTGCTGTGGGGCCCTAAGTTTAGCAAAACCGTGGCCTGATGAAATTCTAGAGCTGGAGTTTGGACTTTCTCTTTGGAGTAATCCTAGGCCACAGCTTCTCTTCCCTCCTAGTAATTTCTTTAAACAAGCTCCTGGATTTCCTGAATGGAGCCGTTTTGTGGGTTTTAAGATGGCTAGTCAACTACAGAGTGCTGACGTGTTCATTTGAAATTCATGCTGTGTTTGCATGAAAGGAGACTCGCAAGTGCCTCTCTTCACAACAGTTGAGGTGTTCTGAAGTCAGATTTCCAACTGCCCTTCTAAAATGAAGATTACTTTTCTCCTGATGGTTTATCTGCATGTGTATTTCATTGTTTTAATTCCTTTGAGTGTACTGTCTTATTTTCTTTTCCTGCTGCTATGATAGGACATTGTGACCAATACATTCTAAGGGGGAAAGTTTCAGGATGAAGTCCACCGTGGTGGGGAGGTCAGGCAGCAGGAGCTTGAGGCAGCTGGTCACATCGTCTGCAGTCAGGAGAAGAGAGCAGCGGATGCTTGTGTGCTGGTGTTCACTCCTTAAGCAGCGCAGGAGCCCCTGCTTAGGGGGTGGTCCTACCAGCAGTCACTTACCCCAGTCAAGATAACCCCTTAGAGGTGTGCTCAGAGGCCCGTCTCCCAGCTGATTCTGGGGTCTGTCAGGTTGACAACACTAGCCATCATGTGTACATATTCACCCCCATTTTTCTCTCTTGTCCCTCCTAGTGCTGTCTCTTGAATAGTCCTGCTTATACTGCCGTACCTCCCATCCTGTTCTCCACAGGCCCAGATATGTCACTCTAGATTCCATCTCTTCTACCCCATATGGTGGTACGGAGACTATCATCTCTCCTGCTAGTGGCATTCCTTCATTTCTCTTTTTGCCTGAATAGAACTCCATTTTGTGTCTATACCATACAGAATGAGGATGTTTAAAAAGTTGGTAAATGACTACAGGGGTGGTGAGATGACTCAGGGTAAAGACACTGCTGAGCAAACCTGATGACCCGAGTTCAGTGTCCCAAAGCCATGGTGGAAGGAGGGAAATGACTTCTGAACTGTTGTCCTCTGCCCTCCACACTCATGTGTACTTGAGAATATGCACACAGGCTCGCACGCACACACACACACACCAAGAAACATTAGCATCAGCACCCTCCCCCAAACTACAAAGCAGTGCATTCTCAGTTTGGTAGCATAGAAAGGCACAAAAAGTAAGTTTACAGCACTTAAAAAGTTTCTTTCCAGAAATGACACTTTGCCCTTCCTTGGTTGAGATGTTTTGTGCCTTTGTTTACCTATGTATGTTTCAAGGTGGGAATCTGTTCTGCCTGTTGTTTTCTTAAGGTGCACTGTGACAAAAGTCTCTCCTTTGTTCCAGGTCACAGAAAAGGCGGATGTCCTGAATCCAATAATCACTGCAGTGTTTCTAGAGGTTAGTAGTAATGTTTTTTGCATCTCTAAGGCATTATGCATTAATTTATTACATCCTTAGTTTCTGCTTTTTAAAAACCAGATTGCATTTTAGCCCTGCTGATACAAATATGACTATTGCTGTTTATATTTGATGTTCGTTATATTCATTCCTTACTCAGTATTTATAAGTGTAACAAAGCTGCAGGGTAAACTTGGATGGAAGAAACCACCAGCTGTCATTCCCCAGTCCCTGCCCCTTGACAGCTGAATGCACAATTCTCAGTAAAGAAACACCTCCTAGAGACCAGCTGATAAACACGAAGGGCTGACACTCTCCAGACAAGCTCTTCCTGAAGGGCTGGGTCTCATGCAGGGGTATTAGAAAACAAGGCATGTGACCATTTCCAAGGATAAAGTCCTCTGTTTGACCGAGTGGCACTGAGCTTGCATATCCTTGTCAGTCTGTGAGCATTAGGATCATAGGGTTTAAGTCTCCAGAAGAGGGGCTGGAGAGATGGCTCAGTGGTTAAGAGCACTTGGGGCCTTGGGGTTGAATTCCAGCACCAAATGGCAGCTCACAGCTGTCTGTAACTCCAGGTCCATGGATATGACACCTTCTCACATACATCCATGCAAGTAATATACCAGTGCACATAACAAAAATGTCTCCAGAGGAGGTGTGAGGGCATGCCATAGTTGATCATTTGCCACCAGGGTGGGGTGGTTTCTGAAGTCCATGCTTTCAGACTCTGACAACCGAGACTGTGATGGCCTGTCTAGAACCCACATAAAGCTAGTGAGAGGAATGTGTTCATGATTGGCTAGTGTTTAAGTATCAATTGAGGGTCAGTGAGATGGCTCAGTAGGTCCGGGTGCTTGTTACCTAGCTGGACGACATTAGTGTGAGCTCCAGGATCTACATGGTGGAATGAGAGAGTGGACTCATGAAAGTTGTTCTCTGACCTCCACATGTGTAGCATACACACGCCCACATGTGCACACACAAGCAAATATCCAAGAACCAGCCAGACTGTTTAGTTTAAAATTATTTTAAGTTACTGTTAAGGAAATGCACTTAGCTCTCCAGCTACACAGCTCTGAGTAGCTCAGAACTCTTGTGGTCAGTTATTTTGAAAGTGAGTCTGTAGTTCATTAGTTGGCAGAGTTGGAAGCACTTAGCAGCAAGGGGCATCCCTGGACTTCCCTCAAGTGCTCTGTAGTCCTGTGTTGGAATCTTGTTTTCGGTGCAAGGAGCTGTAACTAGATGACTTCTGAGTCTCTGTTGGCTGGAAGCTGTGCTATCAAGTGCCCCACTGAAGTTCTGATAGGGTGCCGGCCATTGATAAGTGCACAAAAGGTGGGCTGTCTTGTGTGCGCTCCCTGTTGCCAGTTTGAACGGGATATTTGTACATACAAATTTGAAATACTCTTGTCCTTGAAAATGTACATTTTTTTAAAAAAAGATTTATTTTTATTTAATTGGTGTTTTGCCTGTGTGTAAGTCTGTGTGAGGGTGTTGAATCCCTTGGAACTGGAGTTACAGACAGCTGTGAGCTGCCATGTGCTGGGAATTGCACCTAGGTCCTATGGAAGAGCAGCCAGTGCTCTTAACCACTGAGCCATCTCTCCAGCGAAAATGTACGTTTTTACTTTAGTGTGATGAACTGTTGTTATTCTGGAAGGGGAGACCTTGTCAGATACACATCAGATCTGCTCCCTTGGGCCTGATGCTTCTCTAAGGCTTCTCGTCTCATGTCCACTGACCAGGCAGACCTGTCTGTAACTGTTCTTATTTGAGTGCGGTGCTTTGTCGTGGCACCGAATCCATGGGAGGAGCAGTGATGGTTCAGAGCCTCCTGAGAGCATGTCAGTATTTGACTCCAGTGCGGGAACAGAAACCCATTCAGTCCTGGGCCAGACAATCCTCGAATGTCAAGTGTGAGCAGCCATCTAGTGGGCCATGTCTACTGGGCGAGTTGGGGTGCTGGCACTCTTGTTGGTGCTGCTGTGTTATCTCCCAGGTCTGTCTTGTCCTGTATCAAACTTGAGTGCGGTAGTCAAGCCTGTCCTTTCTTTACTTCACAAGCTGTGGCTTCTGCTGGACTGCAGACACAGGTCTGTCCTTTTGTTGTCTTTCAGTGCTTTCTCTTTCAGGAGATTGTAACCGTTCCTTGATGACTTTTCAATCCTCCAGGCCTCAAACAGTGCCTCCTACATTCAAGATGCCTTCCAGCTTCTCCTGCCCGTGCTGCAGATCTCGCTCATCGAGAGCAAGACAGAGTCACCCAGGGGTGAGCCGCCAGCCCAGAGCCTCCTGACGGAGCACTGAAGGACAGAGAGGAGACTACCTGAGATCATGAAGGCCGAGAAACCCGACTTTCTTCAGGGAAGCCTTGCAGTCAGAACAAGACATCATCAAGTGTGTGAAACCCAGGCAGGAGCGCAGTTCACAGGGCTGTAGGCTCACAGGGCTGCAGGCTCACAGGGCTGTAGGCTCACAGGGCTGCAGGCTCACAGGGTGAAGGCTCACAGGACTGTAGGCTCACAGGGCTGTAGGCTCACAGGGCTGTAGGCTCACAGGGGTGCTTGCTTCTCTCCATGGCCAAGGCACCCAGATCAGCATACTGCTCTTCCCAGTTTTAGAAGTAATACAGTATTTGAAAAGACATATTTCAGGAAAGTCACTGGGACATTCTGTCAAAAATGCTGGACTTTCTTGGAAATATCAGAAAACACTAACAAGTTTGACATGGATGTAATTTGTTGCCAGTGGGTTGTTATACAAAAAAGAAGAAAATTTCAATTTAGTATCCCGGGTTTAAGACATTCTTTTCACCATGGGCTTTCTCTTTACTGGAATAAAGTGTGGCTTTTGCAGAACTGAGACTACATAAGCCCCAAGTGAGATGGTCCGACAGGTCCTCTACCCTCTCACCTTGGTAGATGTTTGGCATGGAGGAGAAACTTGTAGCTAATATATATGAACTACAGCAAAGTGCCCTTTGGCTTCAAATGATTCCTTTCCCAGCGAGACCCCTGCTCAACTTGATTCAAGGCCATTGCATGTCTGCAGATGCTGAGTCTCTTCAGACTGTATTGTGCACACCCTGCCTGAAGCTGCATTCACGCAGGGTGCATTCTTCAGCTGCCTACTCCAGAGGGGGAGGAGGCTCTTTTGGTGGTGGGGTTTTTGTTGGTCCTGTGAATGCTTGCTTATAACAGGATTTAGCCTCAGACATAACACATCTCTCCCTCATTGTTCCTTTGTCTTAATGCATTTGTTAGTGCACTCTGAAAACAGTTCAAAGACCATCCTATACTTTTCAGCCTTCATTGCAGTTTTCAACAGTTAAGAGCTATTTTGGTATCCAGCTATTTTTAAAAATGTTTGTTACCTTAGTGGTTTTTAGTGGCTCTGGTAACTTGAGAGCCCTGGCCTTCATCTTTGAACAACTTTACAATAAAATATGATTATGCCTACTTATAGATGTGATATTTAAAAAAACATTAAGAATTAAAATATTTTACTTTAATGTTGTCTATTTTCATAAAAGGCTTAAAAATGAAGCATCTGAGAATCAAGGATATTCTGAGAAAGACAAGCCTCTTAGGTAACATGTCGTTAAGGGCCCTGTTGAATCTATGAGGGGAACTTTGGAAATCCACACACTGGTGTGGCTCCAGCTGCTGTCTGCTTCTCGGACACCAGTCTGCTCCTTTCTCAGCAGAACCCTTGCTGGTTATCATATTGTCTGGAGAAAACCCGTGTCCCTATGTGTTTGTGTCAGTCACTGTCCCAGAGTTAAAGGGACGTCCAGCTGCTCTCTCAGCACTTGTTAGCTAAAAGAGGAGAGTGATGGGTGCTTCATTCACAGACAGACAGCTCGTTTCTGAGTGGCCTCACCTTGTGTGAAGACCTGAACCCACACTGTGTTTTCTGGACACATTGCTGCTGCTGTGTGTGCCCACTGGTTCTAAAGTGGAGGTCAAGTGACTGCATGCATTGGTTGTTCTTAAAGTAGTTTTCTTGTCAGTTTCGTTAGTGTGAATAACACGTTTGGATTCTATATACCCCCAGCCCCATTTTCAAATCTCCTAGACCACCACCACAACATCCTCTCACAACTTCATGTCCTTTAAAAAGACTTTAATAACCCACAGAGTCCCATTAATGCTGCTCACATGTGCATTTGTGTGGGGCCATCCACTGAAGCATGGGCAACCTACCAGGGGCCTCACCCTGAAGAAAATGAATTCGTCCCTTCCACGGCAGCCGTCGTGAACCCCTCCCATCCATGTCAGATCTTTTTATCTTGTGTGCAGGCATCTGGAGCTGCTGTAAGCTCATGAGTGTCGTGTCCCTGCCATGTCTGGAACACCCTTTCTCAGCAGTCTACCACAAACTCCACTCTCACAGTCTGTGCTCCTGCATGCTGTCTGTCCTCCCAGCTGTGTGGGGAAGGGGTGCCACGCAGTTGTCACATCTGTCTGAACGGTCCACTATCACCTATTTTCTGCACATTGACCTAGATATGCTTAATTGTTTTTCTTTTTTGAGACAGAGGCTCCCTCTCTATCTCTGGCTAGTCTAGAGTTTGCTATGTAGACCAGGCTGGCCTCGAACTCACAGAGATCCGCCTGCTTCTGCCTCCCAACTGATGGGATTAAAGATGTGCCAAGTTTGCATAACTTTGAAGGCATATTTATGAGCTGGAATGGGCAGTCTTAGCTGAGTAACTCGGAGTGAATGGGAATCTCAACTGCGGCTTTAAACCCTAAGGGCTTATGTTTTTCTTGCAGCTGAAACCTCTTTCCTCTCCTGTGGCACGGAATAATGCAGGCCGCACAGCTCAGCTGCGTGGTACAGGAGGCGTTTCAGAAATTGAACATTACGAGAATGTTGTCTTCAGTAAATCAGGAGGTGCTTCTGTAGCTGGCCCAACTGTATTAGTAAGACTTCCAGAACTTACTAAGAGTATTAGAGTTTATAGAATAAATCTCTCTATATAGAAAGGGGCTTTATTAGGATGACATACAGGCTGTGGTCCAGCTGATCCAACAGTGCCTGGCTAGGAATCCAGTAGATGTTCAGTCCGTGAGGCTGGATGTCTCAGCTGGTCTTCAGTGTACGCTGAAATACCAGAGAAGTAGACCCTAATGCCAGTAAAGAAATGACCTTGTTAGGAAGGCAAGGGTAAGCAGGCAAAAGAGCGAAAGCGCCCTTCTTTCCTGTGTGCTGAGGGTGGGCCCGGACACGTTCCAGAGAGGAGGGAAAGAGTAGGGGAGGAAAGGAGCGAGCCAGGCCATGGCGAGAATCTTGCAGCCTGACTGACTAGCAGAATTTTTTTTGTTGTTGTTGTTGTTTTAATTTATACAGGATTCAATAAGCAGGGATAGATTAATGTTGCAAAATGCAGATCACATCATTTTTGTTTCTGGACATGTGTTTAACTTTTTCTCTTGCACCTCTGGGGTCCTAGTTCAGTCATCACTGATGAACCGTGACAGAACAGTTATCTTTTACAATCATTGCTTCCTCATTTGGTCATTGATAAACAGTTACCTTTTGTAATAATTTTTATCCATCAACCTCATATAAGAATCTAGAGACATGTCGGGCGGTGGTGGCGCATGCCTTTAATCCCAGCACTTGGGAGGCAGAGGCAGGCGGATCTCTATGAGTTCGAGGCCAGCCTGGTCTACAAGAGCTAGTTCCAGGACAGGCTCCAAAGCCACAGAGAAACCCTGTCTCGAAAAACCAAAAAAAAAAAAAAAAAAGAATCTAGACACATATGATAGCCTTTTCTCTCAGGCTGGTAGCTTTTGTGGTATGCTAGACAGAAAGAAAATCTCCAAGCCAGTCCCGGCTGATTGCCATGTCCTCAGCAGTTATTAACTTTTTTTTTTTTTTAATTTATCCCTATCCCATTCGAATGGCACCCTTAGGGTTTTTTTTTTTTTTTTAAATTTTATTTACTTTTTTAAAAACAATCTTTTCTCCAACCTTCCTTAAAATTCCATAATACCACTTTTGGGTATATATCCAAGAAATGTTCAATGGTGCCACAAGGACATGTGCTCAGTTATGTTCATAGCAGCATTGTTTGTCATAGCCAGAACCTGGAAACAACCTAAATGCCCCTCGACCAAAGAGCAGATAAGGAAAATGTGGTACATTTACACAATGGAGTACTAACAGCAGAAAGAAAAAAAAATTGACATCTTGAATTTTGCAGGAAAATGGATGGAGCTAGAAAACATCATTTTGAGTGAAGTAACCCAGACCCAGAAAGACAATTATCACATGTACTCACTCATAGGTGGCAAAGAAAACCAGTCCACATAGCTACTTGGGGGGCAGGGTAATGGCACCCCCAGTTTGGGGACTGCAAAACTCATGTAGACAGACTCATGAGCGAACCTCTGCACCCTCATTTTCCAGCTCTATGACAATGACTGACTCTTCACTCCTATCTGTAAAACCAGTCACAATGACACTGCGCATCAGTCATCGGTAGATGAATCTGTGTAAAGCATCTACAGAGGGCCTGCCATGTGACAGTGCCCCAGACACTGTCCCGAATATGTATCGTGTGCTGCTCACACCATTTAATTCTCACCACCACCCTGCTATTGACATGCCCATTTATAGATGAAGAAACTGAGGCATGGGAGAGGTCAGTCATTTATCGGAGGTCACCAACGTGTCAGTGATGGGGCTCAAACCCAGACACCAGAGTTCCCATTTGCCATGCCATGACACTGTCACCGTGAGCCATCATGGTTATGATGATGACCATGGGGCAGACCAAGAGGATTGGCTGGCTTTTAGGTGTCTCAGCTCCAAGCACGGCATCTCTGCAGCAAGTCTGTTGTGTGGTTTTAACCTCAGGATTATTCTGTTGTTTCCTGAAGGGAACCGCACGGAGATGCCTATCTTATGAGAAAACCTATTTGGAAGCATCTGGTCAGGGCTTTCCAGAGCCACTAGGACTTGGCATAGAAAGGAGGTTGTGGTCACAGAACATGTATGCCACAGCGGGAACAAAGACCTCAGTGAGGTAGGGGCATCTGTATTAATTAGTGGTCAGAAAGGGGAACGCAGTATGTCTAGCAACTACACTGGCAACACCCCCCCTCCCCAAACTGGAAAGTCCCAGGCTCTGCTACAGCCATGCTACGTGGATTGCTCAGCAATGAAAGAAATGAACCCATAATAGATCTTTGCAAGAGCTTGGGTCAATCCCAGAGGAATTAATTATGTGGATTGGGAAAAAAAAACCTTAAAGGCTTTATGCCGCGTAATTCTATTTATGTAGCATTAAAACAACAGACAATTCAGTCATAGGACCTGACTTGTCTGATTTCTGTATATATTCCATAACTAGCTGAGTCTAAAAGATAGGCCAGTCTCCAGTACTGTGGGGGCTCTAGAGACTGGGGTGCCTGTGCCATCTCAGCCCTGACTGGGGGGGGCAGAGTAGCAGTAAAAGCCCTGATTGGGGAGGGCTGGGGGGCATAGTAACAGTAGACTCTGTGGCATGCTGGCAAGAGGCCTCAGCTGTGGGTCACCATCTGGAAGGTACTCAGGCATACTGAGTCTTGGCCAAGGTCACATGGAGTCAGAGTTGGTTTGGCCACGTTGCATGGGACCTCTAGTTGGCTAAGGAGTGCCCTGTGCCGCAGGCTCAGACTTGAACCGAATTTGCGGACTCTACAGTGCTTGTCCTGGTAGCCCAGAATCACCCGAGAAAAAGTCTCAATTGAGTAATTGTCTTTATTAGGTTGGTCTCTGGGCATGTCTGTGGGGGAGTGTCTTGATTGTTATTTGACACGGGAGGGCCTCCTAGTCCTTTGTGGGTGGCGCCATCCTCTGGTCAAGTAGTTATGGGCCATATAAGAAGGCCAGGTAAGCGTAGCCTGTGAAGAGCAAGTAAGCACCCTCCTCCATGGTTCCCAATTGAGTTCCTGGCCTGACTTCCCTCTGGTCTGGACTGTGTCTGTCCTGGAAGTATAAGTTGAAATAAACCATTTCTTTCCCTCAGTTGCCTTTGGTCAAGGATATTTTTCACAGCAGTAGATATCAAACTAGAACAATGTCCCTTCCATTGTCCCAAACAGTGTGGGTCCTCCCCTTGAGACAAGATGCTCTCTCTGCTTCCAGAAGATTTCGCCAGAGAAACACATGTTCTTGGACACAGAGGGTCTAGTTGGGGAGGGAGGGATTAGCATGGGCTGCTGGCAGATGGAATCCTTCACAGCCAGCAAGAGACTGGCTCCAGTTTCTGTAGAAGGCGGTCAGAGACACGATACGAGGGGATGGAGCTAGCTCAGGAGTGGACACAGAGTTCTAGAAGGTTAGATTGTGAAGCAGCTGACGGACGGGAAGGTGTGGGATTCCCATCACCTCTGTGCTCTCTCGAGCCCTGGCCAACCAGCCTCTGCCATGTCCCTCTGCCTCATCATCTGGTAGTATCTGATTGCTTATCACACAGAATCAGGAAGTACTGCCCAAGAAAAAAAAATTGTGCCT